GGTCTGCGTTGTCCTTGAAAGGCTGCTGCAGGGTAAAGGACAGGCAGTTGAAGCGGTCGCCCACCGCCAGGCGGCGGCAGGACCCCCCCCCCCCACCCACCCACCTGGATCTTCTTGCGCGCCACAGCAAACTTCTTCTCCAGCTCCTTGCACCGCTGCTGCAGCGCCTCGTGCTCCGCGCCGCCGACCGTGCCAGCGGCGGCAGCCACGGCTGCAGCGGCAGCAGCCTCGGCGGCCTGCAGGCATCAGGCAGACGGGGCAAAAACACGGTGGGTGAGGCGCCGGCCAGCCACCCAGCAGAAGGGCGGATGGCAGCCTGCTGAGCCAGCTGCGCACCTGCTGAGCCTGCTGAGCTTCCTCCAGCTGGCGCCGCAGCTCCGCCAGCTGCCCCTCCTTGCGGTCCATGGCCGCCGACACGGTGGCCTGCAGGCAGGCGAGGGAGGCGCGGCATGCAGGCAGGTAACGAGGGAGCAGCGGCATGCAAACAGGCAGGAGGCGGTGGGAAGGTGGGCATGCCATTGCGCCAAGCCAGCAGCGCATTCACGCAAGCACCCACCTCAAGCTCGGCTTCGGCCTGCTGCAGCTGCTGCTGCAGCTGCTGCCGCAGTGCCTCCTGCGCCGCATGCAGCTGGGCGTCCTTCTCAGCCACCGCCGCAGCCACCGCCACCTGCAGAGGGGGCACGCAGGCAGCAGGACGTGAGGCCCTGACGAGAGGGCATACGCACCATCTACTGCTCCGCCCACAGCCAGCCGCCAGCTGGCTTCCAGTAAACACGGCCATGCCATCCGCACGGCGGCAGAGGCACAGGGAGGCGCTGCCATGCCTCAAACGCTGCAGCCGCTTGCCTGCACGCGCTCCTTGGCCTCTGCCAGCACCCTGGCCGCAGCCTCCTCCGCGTCGGCAGCCGCCTCGGCTGCCGAGTCTTGCAGCTCCTGCGAGCAAGGAAGCATGTTGATCGCAAGGCGTGGGTGCCGGCGCGAGTGGAGCAAGGCCTCGCCAGCAGCGCAGGCAGCGCCAGCTTCCCTGAGCCCAGCGCCCCACCTGCATGCGCAGCTCCAGGGCGGCTATGTGCTGGTCTTTGGTGCTGACAGCCGCCTCCAGCTCCCTGCAGCGACACAGCGCAGGACAGCGAAGCAGGCTGTCAGCGCAAGGTCAAGCATCGCATCACACCGCAGCAGCCGCAGGCTACTTTGCTTGGCCTTACTGGCCAAACAGCGGCAGCGGCGACAGCAGAGGCAGCACACCCCGCAGGCTCGCACCTGGCGCGCTGCTCGGCATGGCGCAGAGACTCGATGGCCTCATCCTTCATCTCAATGGCCAGCTGCAGGCAGGCAGGCAGGCGGGCAGACAGGGAGCAGGGCAGCAGGGCGCCATCAGGGAGCTTGCACAGGAAGCGGGATGCACCGGCTGTGAGTCCCGAGGTGCAGGGCAGCCAGCCAGGCAGCCAGCCAGGCAGCCCACTTTGGCATCCTCCAGCTCCTGCTGCTGCTGCTCCAGCGCCTCCTGGGCCATGTCCAGATCCATCTGCGGCAGCACAGGCAGGAGAGGGTGGCGTGCACACTCAGCAAAGCAGCCAGCAGGTGGCAGCCCCCGGGGCTCGGTGCATACGGCAGATGCCAGGCCCGGCTGCAGCAGGCCGATTGCCACGTGCCCAGCAGCCCGCGGCTGCGACGGCCAAGGTCAGCCCACGCACCTGCAGCGCCGCCAGGGAGGCCTCTGCCTGCACGCGGGCATCGTCGGCCGCCTGCAGCTCCTGGAAGCGCGCCTCGCTGGCAGACACCTGCAGGCGCGGCAGGGAGGCAGGCATGGCGATGATGCAGCAGGGACGCAATGAATGGAGCGGGCACAGTCGGGGCAGGCAAAGGCGAACAGCCAGAGCAGCTCAGCCAGCCGCCCATCGCCACCCTGCTTGCCCGCCCTGCCCGTACCTGCTGCTGCAGTGCCGCAGCCTCGGCCGCCGCCGCCGCCAGTTCCGCCTCGCGCTGCGTCAGCTGCTGCTGCAGCGTGGAAGCCATGCTTTCCTTCTTTTCCAGAGCGGCGTCGCGAGCCGCCAGGGCCTGCAGCGGGAAAGCAGGGGGAAAACAGCAGAGGTAGGGCTACAGCAGCAGCAGCAACAGCAGCAAACACATCCAGCGCATATTGATCCAGCCGGCCACACTGTACTGCCACCCGCCACCCCACCGCCGCCCCACTGCCACCCGCCCCACCTGCTTGAGTGCCTGCTGCTCCGTAGCGGCGCCCCACAGCTGCTGCTGCTCGCTGCCGGCGGCCGCAGTGGCGGCGGCAGCCACCGCCGCCTGCTCATCCAGCTGCGCCTGCAGTGCGGCAACCTGCTGCTCGTGGGCAGCGGCCAGCGCTGCCTGCTCCTCCAGCTGTGCCTGCAGCGCCGCCAGCTGCTGCTCCCTGGCGGCAGCCGCTGCAGCCTGCTCCTCCAGTGCCGCCTCCTGCTGCTGGCACTGGTCGGAGAGTAGCTGCAGCTGCGCATACAGGTGCTGCTCCTCCTCGCTGGCGATCCCGCTGATGGTGGCGGCGACGGCAGCGGCAGCCGCGTCGAGGCTGTCGGCGCCAGGCACCGCCTCGCGCTCCCACGCCTGCCCCTGCTGCTCATCCGTCCCTGGCAGCAGCTCTCCCAGGCTGTCTTCAGCCCAGCCCTCTGCCGCCGCAGGCGCCTCGGGCTCGGTGGCGGCATCGCCGGGGAAGACGGGGGGGCCAACCGCTGCCGGCGCCGCCGCTGCCGGCTGGAACTGCTCCCCTGCGGCGCCCCACTGCTCCTCCATCTCGCCCCAGCCCTCGGCCGCCGCCGCAGCAGGCTCCTCGCCCCAGCTGTCCTCCTGCTGCAGGGGCGGCTCCTCGTCAGCGACGCGCCCCGCCTGCGCCACCTGCGCCTGCTGCTCCTCCACAGACACCTGCTCTCCCTCCCAGGCGTCCCGCTGCTGGAAAGCAGGCTCCTCGCCCCAGCCGTCGGCCTGCCCCTGCGGCGCCTCCTGCGACTGCGCCTGCTCTAGCGCCTCCCCCTCCCAGGCATCCCGCTGGTGGAAAGCGGGCTCCTCCTCAGCCAGCCGCGCCTCGTGCGCCAGGTGCGCCTGACGCTCCTCCAGGGACGGCTGCTCACCAGCCCAGCTGTCCTCCTGGTGGAAGGCGGGCTCCTCGCTCAGCGCGCCGCTGGGCTGGTGCTCGGCCACCACCGCCGTGGCGGCACCTGGCGCGTCCTCCTCGCCCATCCAGCTGTCCTGCTGGTGGAAGGGAGGCTCCTCCTCCAAAGCCGAGCTGGGCACACCCGGCTGCTCCTGCCGCGCCTCGGCCGCATCAAACTTGCCAGCCAGGCTCTGCTGCGCGCCGGCGCCGGCGCCCTCGCCCTCGCCCTCCTGCACCTGCTGGTGAGCGCCAGGGCCGCTGCTGCCGCCGCCCTCCTCGTGCCCCTCATAAAAGGGTGGCGGGTGGCCGTTGCTGAGGGGCGCGTAGCCAGGCAGCGGGATCTGCAGCGGCGAGAGGTGGGCACAGGGAAGCAGCCATCAGCATGGCTTAGCACGGCAGGGGCGAAGCCCAGGCTGCAGGCGCAGGCATCCCGCAGCAAACAAGCGCTGCAGGGCTGGCAACACCAGCGGCAGCGCCTCACCTGCCCGACGCTCTGCCCGCCATACATGGTGCTGTGCAGGCTCTGCACCTCTGAAGCCTCGCCCTCGAGCTCGCCTGCAGGCAGGGGGCAGGAGGTCAGGCGGCGGAAAAGGCATGGGCGACAAGCAGGCAGGGTGAGACGTCCAGCACCGCCTCACCCTCGCTCCAGTCCTCGCGGCTGCTCAGCGTCTCGGCATCACTGCCGGCATAGTAGGAGGAGGCGTTGCGGGCGGCGGCGCCACGCGGGATGCCCAGCTGGGAGGCCAGGTGGCCTGCAGGCGGGGAGCAGGTGCATGGGTGGTAAGTGTCGCAGGCCAGGGCGGAAGGCGCAAGGGCGGGAGCGCTGGCAGGGTGGCAAGAGCGGCAGGCTGGTGGCGTGGCTGCAGGCAGGGTAGGGCAGCAGCCACCCTGGCGGCCATACGACCTTGCACACAAAAACTACGGCCGTGCTGCAAGACCCAGGGCCCACCTGGCGACAGCAGGGAGGGCGAGGAGCCCTCCCCCTCCAGCAGCCCATGCATCAACGCCTCCAGCTCAGACTTGGCAGGCGTGCCCCCGGCAGGCGTCTCGTAGCCACGCCGCCCTGCCGCCAGCGCGGCCGCCTCTGCGGCAGCATAGTCCGCCAGGGTGGCGCCGCCTGCGGGCTCCACAGGCTCTAGCCCGGCTGCCGCAGCCGTGCCGTGCAGGCCGCCGTTGGCTGCCGCCCCGGTGGCGGCCTCTGGTGCGGCGGAAGCAGCAGCAGCAGCAGGGATGCTGTCCTCGGAATCGGAGCCGCCCTGCTGCTCCCAGGGCAGCTGCTTCTGCAGCTTGCCCGCCCGGCGCTTGCGCCCGCCTGCAGCGGCGGCAGCAGCAGCACAAGAAAGGGCGAGGATCAACAGACATGGTCCACGGCAAGGCAAAGGCCTGGACACTGCAACAAATGCTGCCAAGCCTGGCCACTGCCGGCCCCGGCAGCAGCGCCACACCTGCCACCGCCTCCAGCAGGCCGCCAGCCACCGCGCCGGCCGTAGCGGGCATGCCGCCGCCGTTGGGCCCGCCGTGCGCCGCCAGCTGCGCCTGAGCCGCCGTCAGCTGGTGCTGGGCGGCCGCCGCCGCGGCGCCAGCCACCGTCTTGACCTTCTGGGCTGCCTGCTGGAACTGGGGCCCCAGGAAGCTGGCAAACACCTGGCCCAGCGTGGGGTCTGCCCCCATCTCTCCTGCAGCCTGGGCAGCCAGGGCAGCGGCAGCAGCCTCCGGGTCCATGCCAGCCGCCACCGCCGCCTCCGCCGCCGCTGCCGACAGCGGCCGGTCCTTGGGCGAGGGCGGCAGCGAGCCTGCCGGCGGGGAGGGGCCGCGGGGCGGCGACGCGGCGCGCGTCTCCACAGGTGCCAGGGCCGACGCCGCCTTTGCATCTGTCTGCGCTGCAGCCTGGGCCGCTGGATCAACTGGACCAGCTGCCTCCACCGGAGCAGCAGCAGCAGCAGCAGCAGCAGACGTGGACGCCTGCGCGGCGGCCGCCGCCTCGGCCTCGGCCGCGGTGGGCGTGGCGGGGCGGGAGGCGGCGTTGGCGGCCATGTGCTCGGCCACGGCGGCGGCCACAGCGGGCTGGCTGAGCAGGGAGTCGTAATCGCGGGAGTGGTAGGTGGCAGGGTAGTTCTGCAGGAGTGGTGGAGCGGGGAGGAGCCAAACAACAAGCAGCGGGGCAATCAGGCTTTGAGCACAATTGGAAAAGGTGGTGGCAGCGGCGAGCCGAGGGTTCGGCGCAAACAGGGCACGCAGCACCGACGGCGCCGGTGACGAGGCAGCAGGGCAGGCGCCCACCTGGCCCACCCACTGCGCCATGGCCTCCTGCTCGTAGCCGCAGGTGCGGTAGTAAGACCAGAAGGACAGGATCTGCAGGGGGGAGGCAGGCAGGCAGAACAGGCGGTGAGGAGAGCATAAGGCAGGGCAGGGATGAGGCCAGGAAGGATGAGGCCAGCAGCAGACACGCCCCTGTCTGTGTGCGGGACAGGTGCGCCGCAGCAAGAGGCTGCCAGCAGCACAAGCGCCAGCAGCAAGCAGACACACGACTCAGCAGGTGCCCACCCACCTCCTTCACGACGGGATCCCTGAGCAGCGCGGCGGTGCCGGCATCCATGCCGGCAAAGGTGGACGCTGCCGCCGCCGCGGAGCTCGAAGCACCTCCGCTGGCGGCCCGCTGCTGCTTCTGAGGGGAGGATGCAGGGGCTGCGGCCGCAGCTGCTGCAGGCTCGGGATGCGGCTCGACAAAGCTGTTGTGGTGAAGGGTGCTGTTGATGGCGGCGCCGGCGTCCTCGGCCGCAGGCGCCGCTGCCTGGTGCGCGTGCAGAGGTCCGCCGGCTGCGGGCAGCGTCTCCGTCACCGCCACAGTCTCAATCTGCAGTGGCACAGGGGAGGGTGATGTGAGGTACAGCCTTAGCAGCAGGCATGGTTACGTGCAAACAGCACACAGCTGCGGAGGCAGTGAGGTCATGCTACCAGACGCTGCTGGGGCCTCAGGCAGCAGCGTAGCAGCAGCGGCAGCAGCCGCACACCTCCATGGCGGTGCCACCCTCGGCATCTTGAAGTACAGCCTGGTACTGCTCCGAGTGGTACTGCAGCAGCAGCGGGGAAGCAGGCAGCAAGCAGCAGAACCATCAGGGGGCTGGTGTGCGGCGTGGGAAGCCCAGCAAGCGCAGCTGCTTGGTTGGATGGGCCCCGCTGCAAGAACAGCACAGCCCGGCGGCGCAACCCAACCTGCGCCCGCAGCTGCTGGCCGCACCTGCAGCGTGGCGCCACCCTCCTCGCCGGGGTACTGCGCATCCACCTGCTGGTACTGCTCACTGTACTGCAGGCCCTGGCCCTGGTACTGTAGCTCGTACTGCTGCTGCTGCGCCCAGCCCTGCTGCACCGCACCAACATCCAGAGAACTGCTGCTGGCAGCCGGCGGAACCCCGGCAGCTGCCGATGCAGCCGACTCGTCGGCTGCGGAGCCAGCCGCGGACTCCTGTGGGTGGGCTACCGTGGCTGCCTGCGCTGCCGTGGGGGTGATGGCCTGGGACCCCGGCTTGCTGCCGCCGCCGGCAGCAGATGCAGCCGACTCCGCCACCGCCGCCTCGCCTGCCGGCTCCACCTCCTCGGACGGAACTGCCGCGGGCGTAAAGACAGCAGACGGCGGCCTGAACATGGCTGGCGCCGCGCCGCCGCCCAGCGCCGCGCCGGCCGCCGCCGGCGCACCAAACATGGAGGGCGGGCGCAGGCCGCCCAGCACGCTGCCGCCGCCGGTGCTGCCACCGGCGTCGCCGCCCGACGAGGCGCCAAAGCCGCTGGCGGCGGCGTAGCGACCCGCCACGCTGCGGCGCGGCAGCCCGGGCGGGCCGTCGGCGCCGGCGCCGCCTGCGGCAGTGCTGAGGCTGGTGGCGCTGGAGGCTGAGCTCATGATGGGCGGCGCCGCCGTCTTCTTCTCCTCCTCAATCTGCGCCCGCCGCGCATCCTCCTCTCCTGGCATCAGCCAGCACTTGAGCTGCGGACATGGGGGCACGGGGCGTGCTGGAGCGGGTGACGCGCTGCTGGCTGAGGGAGTGTGGCAGCATGGGGGCATGGCAGCAGCAAGCGTGCACAGAGCTGTGGCAGAGAAGCAGCGGCAGCAGGCGTGGGGCGTAGCAACCGCAGGCGGCCGCGCGTGGTGCCAGCAGCAGGCAGCCGCAGCCAGCACACCCACCTCCTCATTGTAATACATCGCCAGCTGCTCCCCCAGCTTCATCTTGACCGACTTCTTCTTGGCCGGCTGCACAGCAGGCAATAGGGAGGGAGGCAACGCGCGAGGGGCGGCGTGAACCGGCGGCGGGTGGGCGGCGGGTGGGCGTGGCGGCCCACAGCCGCTGGGGCGGCGCCATCGATGCCATCGCTCTAGACAACTTGACAGGGCGAGAGCTGGTGAGGGGTAGCGGCACAGAGAAATGCAGGGCGGAGTCCTGCAGCTCAGCCCGGCCTGCGGAGACCTATGGCGCAGCGCAACTCACGAACAGCTTGCCAAACAGCCCGGTGGGCTGGGCCTGGGCGTCGCCCTTGTCCTCGGCCATTTTCAGCTGAGCTCAAGCCCGCACAAACGAAGGGACCTCTGCCGGGGCTGACAGGGCGTTCACACCATCTAGAACCGCTGGCTGGATAGGTGCTGGGGTCTCCGCTAGCGATTGCTGGCGATGTTAAGCTCCCGCTGAGGTGAACGATCGGCGCGAGAGGCCGCCTCTGACCGGCATGTAGCGATACAACAGCTCGGATGCCCCACCCGCCGGGCGACCTGTGGGATGGTGAGCTGCCCGCGTACTGCGGCCGCGTCCCGCTGGGCGGCTGCGCGCGTCCCGACGGGGAGGCCCGACAGCGAGCACTCGCTGGCCATTTCTCGAATACAACCAGCGTGAATCTCTTGGTCCGCGTTACCTTCCCAACATCCAACACTGTAGGATATTGCTCAGGCAGCAGCGGCAACGGATGTGGTGGTGGGCTGCGGTCTTGGCATCGTGTCAGCAGGCGGCAGTGCTGTCAGCGGCACACAAGCGGCTTGCACACATCAGCACAACAACGTGAAGCAGTAGAAGAGAAGAGCTAGGCTACATTCAATTCTTTCACAGCGCCGGCTGCCGCCGGGAAACCACAGGTGGCACCACCCGCTCACTCCGTCTTCGGCACCCGGATGGGCACGTAGCCGTGCGGCGTCAGCAGCAGGTCTGCAAAGTCAGGCAGGCGCAGGAGCTGTGAGCTGCAGACGAGGCTGCTTGGGTGTGCATCCGAGCAGTATCTAGCAGAAACCCCTGCAGTGCGCCAAGCACCATGATGGAACCCCTCCTGGAGGGCATCCAGCAGCCCAGCTAGCCCACCCTTGTTGGCTCGCTTCGCCTCGTCGGGGTCTGGCTGCCCAAAGGGAGACACCCTGTCTGGGAAGGGCTGCCCAGGGCCTGCGGTGTGGGCATTGGGAGGCCACCAGGCACCGTTTCATACACTTGAGCACCAGGGCACCCGCTCATGTCAAGCCGCTGCTGGCGCAACAGTTCAGTTGCTGCAGCCTCCCCGCAGGGCTGCAGGCACGGCCGCACCCTGCGGAAACTTATCATCGGAGTCTGCCTTGGCGCCGCCAAAGTTGCCCAGGCCAGAGGGAGAGCCGGTGGCGGCGGTGGAGGGCCCGCTCAGGCGCCCCAGCACGGCGCGCGGCGCGTGCATGGCTGCAAAGCGGCGCACCAGCACCAGGCTGGCTGCTGCAGCTGGGGGCGCTGCTGCGCACATGGGGAGCAGCGGCGGCATGCTGCAGCCGCCGCGGCAGAGGAAACTCGTGCTCCTGGCCCAATTCAGCTGGGAACGTGAGCGACTCTTCAAAGTACAAACTATACCATGCTGGTGTGCGCCCGGGTGCTGCGGCGCCAGGTGGAAGCTGACGAGGCATGCCACCTGTCGTGGAAAGTCTCTTTGCCGCCAACCCTGGCGTCTTTGCCTGAGACCTTCCTGGCTTCTCACACCGCCAGGATGCTGCAGGGGATCAGGGTTTTGAGGCCGGCGTGCCGCAGGCTGGTGCCGGCGGGTGGCAGGGCCGGGCAAGCCGTGCCGGCTGTCCAAGGCTTTGCCACCGAGCAGTCCAGCGGCCCGGGGCTGCCGGGGCAAGGCACCATGAGCGAGGAGCAGGTCAACCGCACCAGCGACCGCCTGTACGAGGGTGAGCGGGTGGCGGGTGCCGCCTCTGCTACCACCCGCCGGTGGAGGTGCCGCAGCGTTTCTGCCGCCCCAGAGGTTTAGGGCTTAGGGTTGCCCGCCGCTATCACCCTTGGACTGACGCGACAAGTGTATGCTCTACCTGGCCTGCCCTGCACCTTTCTCCGCCTGCAGGCGACAAGGTGGAGGACGCGCCGCGGGCACAAAGCATCAAGCCAGACAAGGAGCAGCCGGCGGCAGAGGACATCAACCAGGGCGAGTTGCTTGTCGGACTGGCCAGAGCGTTGGCACATTCATGCGTGGGATGCCCTGTGAAACAGCCAGGGAGCGGAGCCAACTGACCACCCCAGGTGGCCCCTGGAAGGGCCGTGACGCTGGGCGCATCCTTACACACTGCGTCGCCTCTGCCCGCCTGCCTCCGCCCACCCGCAGGCACCGGCTCCGAACGCATCCAGACGCCCACCAGCCCTGGCGGGGAGCAAGACGCCAGCGAGCCTGTGGGCTCACCCATGTGACCGGCGGCGCCGACGGCACTGCCAGATCGTGTGAAGAGCGCTGCGCTGGGTCAGCCGGCGCGCCAACAGAGCAGCTGGCATGCTTGCTGGGCGCCACAATCGGCAGCTGGCCAATGTTTACAGGCGCCGCGGCACCAGGTGTAATGCAACAACCACCAGGCGCCAACAGCTGCCAATCACGAGCAGCCAGTCACACGTCGGCCTTGCGCACCGCGGTGACCAGCGCCCAGCGGTCCTCCCCCTCAACTCGGAAGTCCCGGAACCAGGGGCTGTATGCCGCCACCACCGCTTCCACCTGCTCCTGCAAGATGCCTGCAACAGCAGCAGGGCAAGCAGCAGGCGCTGCTCAAAACCTGAGGACTTCAGGCAGACGAAGAGAGCTGAGAGTGGGAAAGAGTCATCGCAGCATCCCACAACATCACACGCTGCCAGCTCACCCGACAGCCCTAGTAGGCCACCAGGCTTGGTGTAGGCAGCCAGGCGGGGAGCCAGCGCCACCAGCGGTCCCTGCAGCAGCTCCGCCGCACCTGGGTCAAGCAGGCAGCCACCAGGAATGCAGGACAAGCACTTTCCTGCATTTACGAGCAGTGTGCTGCCAGCGTGTCTTGCCTGCAGGATGTTTGCTACCGTCACGTCAAACTGCCGCTGCGGCTCTGGTAGCCCTGCCGCCGCCAGCGGTTCTTGCTGCTCCAAGTCAGCTGCAGGACATGAGGAGGCAACCTCATGTGGCAGCGAAAGCAGGCACCACGAGAATCCCCAGCAGCACCACCCACCAGGCAAAGACAGCAACGCCCGACAGCAGCAGCAAGCGGCAGCGTGCCTGCGCACTGGTATGCCGCCAGCCGCTCCGCCACGCCGTTCAATGCCGCGTTGGCCTGTGTTGACTTGACAGCCAGCGGCTCTATGTCAGTACCCACCTGCAGGCCAGCACGTGCCAGGCGTGGATTAGGCCAACGGCTAACAGCACCGGTCGACGGCGGCTGGGCCGAGGACAGGGGCAGCACATCAGCCAAGGCAGCAGGCCACTGCCGTAAGCAGCAGCAGCAGCAGCAGCAGCAGCGGTGGTCCTGGGCACCCACCGCGTGTGCTGCCCCCATGAGAAGTGCCGCTACCGCCAGCACGCCCGAGCCCGCGCCATAGTCCATGACTGACACCCCTGACAGGCTGCTGGCGTGCTGCAGGCGCTGCAGCCAGAGCAGACACAAGCGCGTGGTGGGGTGCTCGCCTGTGCCAAACGCCAGGCCTGCAAGCAATCAAGAGTGGAGGGTGAGCAGCAGGTCGGGCGGTGCTGGCAGAGGCAGTGCATATCACGGGCATGTGCGGCCAGCAGCGGCCATGCTTGATCGTGAAGCAGCACCATGAGCAGGCATTAGCAGCACATGGCATGCCTGGTTCTAGAACTATGTTGGTTGCATCAGGATCGGGCGGTTGGCTCCAGACGGGCACTATCCACAGGCCCTCCCCCACCTCCGATGGCTGGTAGCTGTCCTGCAGGCAGGCTGGGCGGCCGAGCTGCTGATAAGGCACTGCGCAACACAGGCGGGCAGCGTCGGTAGGCAGTTGCAGCAGCTGGTAGCGCTGCCTGCGCACGAAGCGACTGGCAGCAGGTACTGCCAGCCCGCACCATGATACTTTGCTCCCAGTCCTGCGTCCGCATCGCCTCCACCACCTGCTGCCTTTCCCCTAGCCCAAAGTCGGCAGCGGTGCTGGCCAGGATGGCGGCGCCGTCCTCCTGCAGAGCAGAAGGGACGGGGGGCAGCAACAAAAGCTGCGACACCTGGTTCCCAGCAAAGGGCGAGGGCCACCTGAAGCAGCGGCGGCGCGGCCCCACACAGGATCAAATGCATTGTCCCAAGTATGCAGCAACCGGCTTCACTCCAGGCGGAAAATAAGCGACCACCGAGCAGCGACCCCACACCCGGCCGCCGTCGTCCGCAAGAACTCCTTGCACCCATGCCACGCCCAGCCAAGTCATGTCATCTTGCCACCAAGCACATCCATGGCACCAAGGATGCAAAGAGAAACAAAGTGCCCCACGGACTTCCGCTTCCTGGCCTCGCCACTGCCCACCTGCTCTGCGCCGCCTGCGGGACGAAACTCCTCCACCGCGACCGACTGCGCGCCATAGGCAAGCAGAACCTCGGCCACCTCCTCCGCCATCCCACCTGGCACGTCCAGCAGGCAGCACTTGAGGCTGCACACCTCCCTGCAGGTCGCACACGTGCAGGGTAGTACTCAGATGAAGCAGCAGGGTGGCGCTGCTGCACGGTGGGCTGCGGCAGGCATGGAATGAAGCAGCTGGATGCGGGTGCTCACCCTGCCATGCTGCCACTTGTACTGGAGGTGGCATCCACAGCGCAAGCTGCTCTCGATGGCGCCCAGGTGCTGCGGGGAGCCCTGCGGTAGCTGTCGGCGGAACGGTCGGAGGTGGCGGCGGCGGCGGCGGCGGCCGGGTGCTTCCAGCCCCGCCGCGCCGCTTTCATCGCATTCCATCGCGATCTACATGCCTCTGGGTGTCTGCAGACCACCAGCCGCGCCGCTGCAAGTGCCATTCTGAGACTCATTTCGACACCCCGCATCCCAACTCCTGGGGGTAGTGGGCCTTGGCGGGACAGTGGTAAACCGTGCTGCGGAAGCAGCCAGTCAGCTGCCGCTTCAAACGGAATAGGAAGGAGGGGGCGGGCTCGGCCATGCAGCTCAAGCGCAGTGTGCAGGTTATGCAAGGCCCGTGGATGGAGGGGGCAAGCGACAATAGCAGGGCGCGATCCATCCATGTGGTGCATGCATGAGCCCCGTCATCGCCACAGCGATCCTCGTCGGCGCATCGAACAACAAAGAACTTTGTGGCCCAGTGCCTTGTCCAGTGCAGCGGCTTCAGGTTGCAGCCATGCAACGCCCCACAGGCTCCCAGGCGGTGGCCCTTCAAAACGCTCAGGTGATCGCGGCACATCCACGCTATGGGGCTCGCTCCAAGAAATCGCAACACGTCGAGGGAGAGCCTGCTACTGTGCAGCAGGCGCGGATGCAGCCGATGGGAGCCAGCCGCCGCTGGCGGGCGGGCGGCAATCCTCGCCAACGCTTCCTTGCCCACGCCTGCCACCGCCCCTGCTCAGGAGGACATCGACCGCAAGCGGCACAAGCGCGACCCCTTTGCCGCCAAGTATGTCAGCCTGGCGACCAGCGAGTTTGGCGAGGCAGCAGTGCAGGTGAGAACCCAGCAGGAGAATGCGCTCCTGCGCTGCAGCGGCAGCCAGCAGCGATCTCCTTCCAGACTTCCCGCCTCTCACCCCCTGCTGCCTGCCGCAGGCTGACGCGCGCCCCGATGCCAGCCGCACTGCAGTGGAGGTGGCCGCTGCCAACGTGCACGTCCGCACCGAGGCAAGCTGGACGCGCTTGCTTGCCGCCTTTGATGTACATGATGGACCTGCCCCGCCATCCTGTGCTGAAGCGTCGAGTGAGCCCGCCTCCTGCTGGCCTGCAGCTCATCAAAACCATGAAGAATGCGCTGGTCAAGCAGACCCGGGAAGCTGTAAAGCGGGTGGCGCCGCCGCAGCGTGCTCGACTGGGCACCCGCGGCGGGCAGCGGCAGCAGGCGGCTGCCGTCGCTGCCGCTGCGGCGGGCGGGGCGGAAGGCGCTGGCGACGACGGCGGCGGCCAGGATGCAGGTGGCTGCCTGGCATGCCAGCACGCGCTAAGTGCATTCCCAGTGCCCAAGCAGACCTGTAGAACAGCTGCCTGACGTGGAGGCTTGACATCTTCCCGTGCTGCGCAGAGAACGGCGCCGGCGCAGCCTCCTTCTACCGTGACGACCTGCACCAGCAGTTCCAGCAGCTGCTGCAGGGCGGCCTGGCACTGGGGCCGGAGCTGGAGGACCTGCAAGTGGGGCCAGTGGGTGCTTGCACACTGTGCCACCCAGCAGGTCATGTCGAATTTCCCTCTGCCCTTCTTTGCTGGCTTCCTGCAAAAGGTCAGCGGGCAGGCCTGGCAGACAACCAACCAGCATCGCTGTATTCCCTCCCCCACATTTGGCTCGGTGGATGCAGGAGCAGCTGCTGCAGGGGCAGGACGGCGCTGCCAGCCGGCTGCCGGATGCTGAGCTGGCGCTTGATGTGGAGGCCGAGCTGGCGCCGCCGCCGTTCGATGACTTTCTGCTGCAGTGAGCGCCGCCCTCGCGTTGATGCTTGTCCAGCTTGATTTCCACGCCATCGTCCGGCTGTAACTTTTCTCCTGCTGCATGCAGGCTGTTCGGAGACGGCGAGGCGTTAAAGGAGCAGGAGGCTTCAGCTGCAGCGGCGCCGCTCAGCGAGGAGGCTGCAGCAGGCCTTGCAGCGGCCGTGGATGCTCTGCACCGGCACACAGCGCAGCTGGAGGAGCAGGGGGTGCTGCCATCGGCGGCTGGCTCTGCTGCCTGGCTGCTTCCAGACGGTTCTGAGGCACAGGGTGTAGCGAGCATGGCGTCGCTGCCGCCCTACATTCAGCAGGGGCAGGCTGATGTGCCAGAGGGATGGCAGCAGCCGCGCCTGCAGCAGCCGCAGCAGGAGGATGCGCAGGTGCATGCGTCCGGCAGTCTTCTGCACTGGACCGCCGAAGCATTCGGGGGGGCAGGCAGCGAGGATGCGATTCAGGACGCCGATGATGGTGTGTTGGCACCACAGCCTGCTTCTGCTGCAGTGCATGCGCCGCTGAAGTCAGGCATGCCGAGCTTCAGATCGGCATGATCAAGCGCTGAGCGCTGCCGTGCTTGCCTGCCGCTGCCTCTTCTGCAGGCGACGCTGGCTGGGCAGACTTCGAGGAGCAAAGCGGGCCAGGCGGCGGCTCTGCCCGGCACCGCAGGCCGCCCCAGCCTCAGCGCCCGCTGGTGCAGCTGCAGCTGCGGCGCCAGCCAGCCGCTGCCGGCGGTGTGTGTGTGGCGTTCGACGACGAGCAGCAGCAGCAGCTGAAGCCGCAAGAGCACCAGCGGCAGGAGGCCGACGTGGGTCAGACCAGACTGAGTGAGCAGCGTGAAGGTGGCGGCAGCCAGCCAGGCGTGGCAGCTGACGATCCCTGGCTGGAGCTGGAGCAGAGCAGTGAGCCGGAGCGGCCGGGCCGGCAGCAGCCCTTCCGGGCTGAGGCAGCGGCGGCAGCCGGACAGCAGACACCAGGGCTGGCAGCAGGAGGCGGGCGGCGAGTGCCGACCTTTGCCGCCAGGCGGCAGCCGCTGGCGCTGAGCCAATCCGACCAGCAGGCACTGCCTCAGGCCGCGACCTGCATGCCAGGCATCGAGGATGACGAGGAGTGGGATGGCGGCATGCTCGAGCAGGTGACCTCAGAGCAGGCTGCTGCCACGGCGGATGAATGAAGCAGCTGGCGCTCTTCCCCACAGCACTGCCCTGCATCGGTCTGCCGTTAGCTGATTGTGCCTGATGGGCGGGGCACTGCTTGACTGCAGGTGGCGGCGCTGGAGCAGGCGGCTCTTCAGCAGCAGCAGCAGCAGCGGCAGCGGAGGGCACCTGTGTTTCGCAACCGCGCCTTCACGCAGCAGCCGCTGCAGCCCGGGGTGTGGCCTGGTGGCGGTGGTGGTGGCAGCGGGGCTGGTGCCTCTGAGGGGATTGAGGAGGCTGACTCAGATGGCGAGCTGGCACCAGGACCCTCAGCAGCAGCTGCGGCTGCCAGGCGGCCGCCCAGGGCAGCGGCTGTGCCTGTGCTGGGCAGGCGGGCAGTGCTACCGCTGGCTGCCGGCGCCGCCGCGCCAGCTGAGGAGCAGCAGGCTGAGGAGGGGCAGGCGGGCCCGGCCGAGGATGCAGCAGCGCCTGCCACTGGCGGTGATGGCACGGCAATGCAGCATGTGAGGTCCCAGCTTCGTGGCCCGGCGCCTCGAGCAGCGGCAGTGGCGGCTGAGGCGGCGGCTGGTGATGACGGCCAGATCCTGCACATCGACTTCTCTGCCATTGACCTGGAGGCTTTCCGGCCCAGCGTGCTGCTGCAGTGAGTAAGCTGGCGCTGGTCGGCTGCAGGCGGGCAGTGCGGCGCCGCGCTTTCTGTCCCCAAACACAATCCCCGCAAGGAGGCGCCTCGCCCACGCTGCTGCTCTGCCTGGTGCTGCCGCCCACCCTCCTGCAGGCAGCAGGCGGGCGGCAAGCCCAGGTGGAAGCCCGTGTTTGATCCAGATACCCTGCTGCTGCAGCCGCTGCGGGCCGGCCTGGCGCCGCCACCCACCCTCGCGGCGCGGTCGGCAGGGCCTGCCAGCGCTGCTGCGGCTCAGCAGCTTGTGGCGGGGCTCACTGCTGAGGACTTGGCTGGGTGGGACGACTGGGATGATGACTGGGGAGAGGCGGCCGCAGGTGGCGGCCCCACCGGCAGCCCGACAGGCGCCGATGCTGCTCTTTGCGCTGCTGCCGGGCAGCACGGCGGTGCCAACTTGTGCGGCGGGCAACACGCCATGCAGCAGCACAGGCGGCAGCAGGGGCAGGAGCAGGATGAGGTGGCTGTGGAATGGGATGAGCTGCCGGCCCCGCCAGCTGTTGAGGAGGACTGGGAGGCGCCAGCACAGGAGTTGAAGGCGGCAGCAGTAGCCTCGCCGGCAGCTGGCGTGCGGTTTCAGGAGGAGGTGGTGCAGGTGTGCTTTGACTACTATGATGATGGCGGAGAGTGGGAGGAGGAACAGGCAGTAAGTGAGCCAGCGCAGGCAGTCTCGCAGGCGGCACGGCAGGCGGCTGGCGGCGCAGCTGCTGCCTGCGGCAGCGGCTGGTTCTGGCAGCAGGAGGAGCAGCATGCCCCAGACGAGCACTGCAGCTGGGGAGTTGAGCAGGCACAGCAGCAGGTGCCTGCAGCAGCTGGCGGCCCAGCAGACGTCTGGGCCGAGTTTGGGGCCCCACCAGGCGACAGCAGCTGCGCCCAGGCGGCAGCGGCAGCTGCGCCGCAGGCGGCAGTGAGCAACGAGGATGTGACTTGGGGGCATGAGGCTGGGGAGGGAACAGGCGGGTCGGCCCAGGCCGGGCTGCCTCCTCCAGCGCCCATTTACTCGGCAGTCGAGCGCAGGCGGCTGCTGGGGAGGAGGACCCCTGGGCTGCTCTGGAGGCTGAGCATGGCGGCCATGCGGCAGGCATTGCCTCCGTGGCAGCTGGCGGCAGCCCGGCATGCCGCCCCATGGATGCCTGCCGCAGCACTCCAGTGGCCTCTCCTGCCAGCACAAACGCTGTCGCCGTGAGCATGTCGCTTGGCAGCCCGGCTGTGGATGATGTGGCGGCGGAGGCTGATGCGGGCATAGGCGACTTTGGTGGAGGCTGCTGGGGCTGTGACATCGAATGGGAGGACGGCAGGGGGGCAGAGGAGCAGGGGGCAGCTAGCTGCCATGTGGAGGCCCTTGTGCAGGGCGGCGGCGACCGCGGGGAGCGCAGAAATGTGGAGGCCGAGGGTGAGACAGCCGTGGCAGCTGCCGCGGCTGGATCCGCGGCAGCAGCAGAGCAGATGCTGGCTCTTGATTGGGAGTATGACGATGTGGCTGAGGAGGCTGCCGAGGCAGACGCTGCCACAGGCAGGAGCTTCCTGGTGGCGCCAGCCACCAGGCCTGGGGCAGGCTTGCAGCCTGGCGGCGGCACGGCGCTGGCCGCTGCTGCCGGAGAGCGGCGGCACGATGAGATTGGTGCCGAGATTATCAAGGCAAGCTTCTGCTGCCAGCTGCCCCCTGGTTATTCTCCTCTTTGACTACACAGCCTCTTGAGCAGCTCTCCCTCCCTCGCCCAACTGCAGGCTTTGCTGCAGGAGCGGCGGCGCGCTCGGGTGGACCTGCAGCCGCTGCTGCCGCAGCTGAGCCAGCGGCTGGGAGCGGCCCTGGCGGCGGGCGGCCCCGGTGGCGGCGGCGGCGGCAGTGGAAGGGCGCTGCTGTCGGCTGTGCGGCGGGAGTGCCTGCAGAGCGGCGTGCAGGGCACCCAGGCCAGCACTGAGGTGAGGCATGCCCAGCTGTCAATCAGCAGAGGGCGTCCCAGCCCAACCCCACCCAGCCCAGCCCAGCCCAGCCCAGCCCAGCCCTGCCCAGAGACGAGCGCTTCAAGCAAGGTGCTGATTTGTCAACCCCCCTTGCCCTGCAGCGCTACCTCATGGCGCTCCTCACCGCCGCCAACCAGCACAACGCGGGAGGTGTCGCCGCTGCCGAGGACCAGCAGGCAGCACAGGCTGGCGGCAGATCGGGAGCGGCGGCAGGAGCGCTGGCGGCGGCGCTGGGGGGAAAGCAGTTGCGGCTCAGCGCGCCACCTGGCGCAAGCGACGTCTTCATCGCAGCCATCTGAGGACTCGCCGTGCGCTATTCAGCAGCCAATCGCGATTCACGCTTTGTTACATGCCACATTCTGGCATCGGCGCTAATTTAGTCACTGCTGATGCAAATCACAGGCAGGCAGGTAGGCAGGCACAGCTGCACAGTCACGGTGTGCCAGAGAACCAGTGATCAACGGGGTCCCTTTCCAGTTGAACCCGGCTGGCATTCGCTGTCTGGCGGCGCCTCCCGCCTCACTCCAGCACCACCCCAGGCTCGGGGGTGCCGCCCAGCATGGCGTCGTCCGCCTCCTTCCTTCAAAGCAAAGGAGTGGGGCGAGATGCATGCAGCTCAGAGCGGCAGACCTCAGCAGCGGTGCTTGTCGCAGCGGCGGCTGCCACAGCCAGGCAGCCAGCTGGAGCACCCACGGCAGCTGGAGCACCCAGCATGGGCGCCCCCAGCCCCCTCCCTCTCACTTCCAGCGCGGCCAGCCGCTCATGGCGTGCCCGCTGGTGCCGGGCGCCTCCCCTCGGGCTGGCATGTTGCCCGCATCGTCGACCAAGGGGTGCGCCTGCGGCTTGACTGCGGGACGGCGTGGCGGCGAGGCAGGCAGGTGGTCATAATCAGCCAACCTGCTGGGCAGTCGCAGTGGCCAGCGGCACCCCTTGGCAAACCATGCTTTGCAGATTGCAGCATGCCCACACCTGGCTCCGCAGCGGCGTGCACAACGCCACTGGCAGCGGAGGCCGCCTCGCGCACGCCGCTGCGCGCAGCCTCGGCGGCACCCACGGCGCCAGACGCCGCTTCCGCCACCTCCCCCACCGCACCCTGGCAAGTTTGGGTGGCAGAACTGCTCTATGTAGAGGTGCCCCTGCCCGCCAGGCAAAAAGGCAGCACATACAGGGTCCCTCTGCCACCCACCGATCTCCCGACACCCACCTCTGTCGCCTCCCTGGTCTCCTCCATCGCGCCCTCGGCAGCTTCCTTTGCCTCGGCGCCCGCCGCCACCGGATCGTCGCCATACCCGCCGATGTCAGGCAGCTCGCTCTGCGGCAAAGGGGTGGCGGGAGCGGCAGGCGAGGTGTGGCTGGTGCAGGCGCCGTGCTGTCGGCTTGGCGGCAGGCCGACGGCGGCTGTGGCGCGGGTGCTGGCGCGCCTGGATCTTCATGCCGCCCTCATCCTCGCCCGGCTGCCTGGCGCCTGCACAAGTGTGCAGGCGGTGGCCGCATCAACAGCCGTTGGCCTCCGCCAGGGATCGATGGCCACCGGCACAGCAACCACCTTGCAGCAACCGAGGCTGGCAGCGGCACCGCGTGCACGCCCTGGCTGCGCCCAGCCCACACCTGCTGCGGCGGTGTAGGCAAACTCGTCGGCCGAGCTCCTGGCGGCAGCAAAGCCTCGGCAGGTGCCGGGCCCTGCCACAGCGGCGGTGGCCGCCGCCGCTGCCCGCCTGCTGCCGCCGGCTGCTGCCAGCCCACTGCGCACCAGCCTGGAGGCCAGCATGTTAGTTTGAAAGACGCAAAATGGGTGCATAGGTCTGGGCTTCGTCCAAGGTTGGTGCCCCGTCAGCTTCCAGGTGGCGCAGGCCTTTCTTCCCCCTCTGCTTGGGCATTTGCACCAGCCTGCCGCTCCCCCAACCTACCTCGACCTGTGCAACCCCATCACGATGCTCAGGCAGGTGTCCAAGGCCCTGCTGCGCGGCAGCCAGCCCACCCCGCTGCAGCACCCCCACCTGCTAACCGCCGCTGCCTGCGCCCTGCTCAACCCAGCCGCCGGCGCCGGACGAGGCTACAAGCAGGCAGCACGGCCCGGAGGCAGCACGAGGGCCCGGACCGAGAGTCGGCCGCCCAGCGAGCGGCGCAGGACCTGGCGGCAGCCGCCCGCGACAGCGTGAGTGGCAGCGCATTGGCACACAGTTGCCGCCAGAAGGCTGTGGGCCAACAACCGTGTGTTGCAGTCACCCCGCTGTGATAGGCCGCGTGAGCAGACCTGGCCGCGCCTTCTCACCGTCGGGGCTGCTCTGCACACATGACACCATCTGCACACACATGGACCGAAGCCTCCGTCCATACTCCCCGCTTGCCTCCCTGCGCTGCCTGCAGGTGTCGCATGCAGCGCAGGGCGACCTGGGCGCAGGACACGGTGCGCATGGCAACGGCCGGGGCGCGCGGCGCCGCCGAGAGCGCCCGCCTCGTGTTCGAGACCGTCACCGGCCTGGGCGCCTCCTCTGGCTCGGAAGGCAAGCTGCCGGCCCTGCCGGGCAGCTCTGGGCAGCTACCTGGACTGGCTGTCTGAATTCGAAATCATTCCTCGAAGCTGGAAAGCATCTGCCTGCGACTGCCCCCCAATCTCCTGGGTCAACCTCCTGTTTCGCCCACCTCCTCGCCACGGGGTGCCTGCAGGCAGCAGCACCGCGCAACGCGCCGCCTCGGCCGCAGTGGACGCCACCGCCAGGGCCGCTGACGACCTGGCGTCAGGCGCCTCTGCTGCATACTGTGAGGTGGGGTGGGGATGTGTGGGGTGGGATTTGCAGACACGCCGAAATGCAGAGCAGACAGCGCAGAACAGACAGAGCGGAGCAGGCAGAGCGAAGCAGACAGAAAGCAGAGCAGACAGAGTCTGACAGAGCTGCTGAGGGACATTCCCCTCTGCCTGCGGAGCGCTCGTCGAGCATCCGGCGGATGCTGCCGCAGCGGCCGCCGGCAGGGACGCTCGCAGCGCAGGGCCGCACTGGCTGCCAGTGTCCCTGCCGGCACACGCTACCCTGCACCCGAGCCATCCACAGCTGCGCATATCTGGGAGCCGCAGAGGCGCCTCCGGGGCTCCCTGGCCGCCGCCGCCGCCGCCCCTGCTTGGCACCACCCAGCCCACCCGCCCCTGTATGTCTCTGTGCCTGTACACCCCCACGCCGTCCTGCAGACTGTGGGATCAATGAGCGGCACCACAGTGCCGGGAGCAGGCAATAAAGGTGAGGGGCAGCAGGGCACGCCAGCTGCCATCCGGATGCGCCTGCTGCCTTTCGCTGCTGTGGCCGCCGTTACCAGCTGCAACTTGGGCAGGCTGCTCTGTGACCCTCTCCTCCTGCCTCCGCTGCCGCCACCAGCAGGCCCCGAGTCGACTTACAGTGAACATGCGCTGAAGGGGGCAGGGATGCACGGGGTGGGCACCTCAGCCGCAGGTGCGCTGCCGCCGCCCAGCTGAACCATCGCCGCCTGCTGCCAGCCTGCCGCCAGAGCACTATCGTGCTCCGCACGGCATCCCATCAGCCTGGCACGTGTGCGACGCGCTGCCTCGGCCTGCCTGCTGCAGGCGACTGGGCAGGTGTGATGGTGGAGTCTACAGTGGATGACCATACCTTTGCCAGCGCTGAAAGCGGCGGCGGCGGCGGCGGGGCACCAGGCGGGGAGGACATCGGCAGCAGCCAGAAGGGCAGCGGCGCGGGCGGCGCGGGCCTTGCCGGCGGCGAGGCCGGTGGCCACGGGGTCAGCGACAAGGCTTCCGCCGAAGACGAGTATGCCATTGCTGGCGGGGGGCTAGGTGGGCAAGACGGGGGCGGGGCTGCTCCCGAGGCCGGGAGCGGCGGCGGCGACGCTGGGCAGGCGGGCGGCGGCGGCGGCACTCCAAAGGTCAGCGAGCGCTCCTTCACCGAGGACGAGTTTGCGGTGACCAGGGAGCAGCGCTGAGCTGGCCTGCTGCCTGCCTGCCAAGTTTTACCTCCATTCCTTCACAGACTTCTTTGCAATGGTTCTTACTTGGAACACAGAATCAAGCTGTAAGGAGTGCAGTAATAATACTAGTGGTCATCATGAGGCTGGATGAAAATGGGTGATGTGCAAGCTGGCAGAGGGGCCGAGGTGGCCGGCTGCCATATCACGAGAAAGGGCCGCACTCCTGACCGGGTGATGGGGGCCACGCTGGCCCTTCACACCGCCTGCACACGGTAGTGCAGCTGGTAGGCCAGCCCGCCGTGCTTGCTGCGCTCCGCCAGGATGCAGGGCGGCAGCAGGCCCGCGGCCTGGTGTCCGCCGCCTGCCGCGCCGCCCTCCTCCTCCTCGGCGCCAGCCTGCCCCTTGGGCCTGCACGCGTGTGGTGAGCTGATCAGCATGGCTTCCGGGTGCCGCTGCAAGCACATGGCGGCAGCGCCTGCCCGGGCAGGCAACGACGGCAGCGGCGGCAGCGGCGGTGGGCGGCAGCAAGCCTGCCGCCCCCCAGCTGACCCAGCATGCCCAAGCCAAGCTCACTTCAGGCCCGAGCTTTCCACCTCAAACAGCAGCGACCGCCGCAGGCGGGGCGGCAGCGCCGCCGCCAGCTCAGCCGCCTTCTTGCCCTCCTTGGCCGCCGCCTGCGCGGCAGAGCATGGCAGCGCCGACACGCAATGATGGCAACACCGCTGAGCGGCATGCAACCTTGCGCCCAGATGCCCGGCCCCTGACATAAGGGCACCAGCACGGCCATGTGTACGCCTCTCCTCAAGCCGCGCCAGCACCCACCGCCGCATCCACAAAGATGAGGCACTCCAGCACGGCGGCCCAGAGGCGGGAGCAGGCCCGGGGCCCGGGTTCGGCCAGGTTGATGGTGGGGACGACGGCAGGGGAGAGCTGGGAGGCGTCAAACAGCACACCTGCCGTGTGTGTGGGGGGGGTGGGGTGCACGAGGGGAAGGCAGGTATCAGGAGCTGGCAGGACAGGTTGGGAGGCCACACACGAACACACACACAGCATGTGCTCCCACCAGCTTGCTGCACCAGGCATGCCGCACGGTCCAGCAGCAGGACGGCGGCCGTGCCGGCAGCGATATGCGGCAGGCGGGCAAGCAGGCAGGCAGGCGGCACCCCGGCGCCGCACCTGACCCCTCTGGCGACTCTGCTGTTACGGCGCCCTGCCAGCTGCCGCTGATGGAGGCCAGCTGTTGGCGCCCTGCGTTGGCCAGGAGGGAGCGGCAAACGTGAAACATATGCTTCACATCCCGCAAGGCACGGGGTGCTGCAGAGGGAAGGCAGGGAGCACAGCACGGCAAAGCGCAGTGTCGACAGCCCTCCGCCCCACAGCCCCTCCCTCCAGCGCTGCCCGCCAGCCCTCACCCTCCCCCTGCAGTGCCTCCACAGACCCCTTGACGCTGCCGCCGCGGAAGGGGCGGAAGTGGAGGGCGAGGGAGAGGCTGGTGGCCTCGCAGGAGATGGCGGCATCCCCCGAGAAGTCCAGGGGGCACTCCTGCAGGAGGAAGAGCGAGGGCGGCAGCAGCAGCAGCACTGGGGCAGCAGCAGTGGAGCGGGTGCGGGGCTGGAATCACGGCCAGCTTGCCAACACCCTCTTTTCAGAAACAACTGAAATCAAATGCCGCCAGCATGTGTCCCTCGAGCAGCAGCAAGGGGATGCAGGCAGCTGGCAGGGCAGCGCGGGGCAGGCTGCCGTGCCCAGCGAACCTGTGCCAGAGGGCCGGCGAGCACCAGGGAGGGCAGGGTGCAGGTGTAGGTTTCGGCGTGGCGGGGGAGCACAATGATCACGCTGCCCTGCAGGCGGGGCATGCGGGCAGACCGCACAGTCGGGCAGGCATCAAAAGCGGCATCCTGCCAGCGGGGTGCTATCGAGCAGTGCTGCAATCCAGACAGTGCCGGCCAGCTGCACCCAGCCCACCTACCTCCAGGCTGCACTCCACCCAGGCGGGAGGGGCGCCCTCGCCCCCTGCAGCCGCCGCCTTGCCGCCGCCACCCAGCTGCGCCAGCAGCCCGCCCTGCTGCTGCCTGGCGGCGGCCGCGGGGCGCAGGCCCAGCCGCAGCTGGGCCGCGGGGACTGGCGGCGGCGCGGCGGCTGCCAGGCTGGCGGGCGGGGCCGTGTACTTGCTGTGAGGGGTGGGTCCCAGGGGCTCGTGGGAGCACAGCTCTTGCAGGAACACCTGCATGGCGTCGCCGCGGTGCTTGCCGGCTGCAGGCGGGGTGAAGGCGGGTGAGCAAGGAGCTGTTTGGGGCATGCAGCGGCAGCCGCGCCCACATCTGCCAGGAGGCTGGCAGCATGCTCATGAAACAGGAGAAGCATGCTCAGGGGCTCACCCAGCTGGCGGCGGGACAGGTAGTGCTGGCCCAGCATAACGGTGGGGGTGTCCCCAAAACCTTTGCCCGGGCGTAGCAGGTCGGTTGTCATGCACAGCAGCGCCCTGCGGCGGCAGCGGCGGAGACGACGCATGTGGCGGCATTTGGAAGGTGGGGGTCAGGCTCGGCTTGATGGGATCAGCTGCAAGAGTGTAATCAGGCGTGTGGGGTGGCCGTCTGGATCCCGCCACCCATGTGCCGCCAGCTGCCACAGGACGGCGGCAGGCCGCCCACCTGCACACCGCCAGCATGCGCTCCAGAGGATCTGGAGCCAGCTCCGCCCGCAGCAGCAGGCCGCCCAGCTGGGTATGCCGGTCTTGCTGCAGTGGCGGGGTTGCTTAGGGACCAGTGAGCACGTAGGCAGGAAGGCAGGAGGGGCTGAGCAGAGCGGCGGCAGGTAGGTGGTCGGGTGCCAGTCGGGCGGCGGCGGCACGTGCCTGCTTGGTGGGGTCTGGGGCGGCGGGGCCCCTGCCTCGCGCCCCTCCCGCCTTCAGGGCTGGCCCCAGGCGCCCAGGCGCCGCGGTGGAGGCCTGCATGGTCTCGATGGCGGAGTTCGGCGGCCAGTCAAAGGCTTCGGACGGCTGCCTGTCGCTACGGCTCAGACATGGTTACGGGGTTGCGGCAAGATGATCAGGAGGCAAGCACACCTGCTCTGGAGGGCTTGGGCAATCTTCTCTCTCTCTTTTCCTCTTGCCGCCTCGGAGTGGTCGCGGCTGGCTCTGAGCTCTCCTGTCATCGTACTATCGTCCTCACAGTGCATTGAAAGCTGCTAACATTGTTTTCAGCCGAATACTACTCCGTTTAACACTTGTTGCGCTGCAGAACCACTTTCACCATAGCGAAGGATGAGCGGTGCTGCCAGAAACCCGTGGATTGTGAAAGCCCCGATTCTCGGCATAGCTTCCAATCCGGCAGGCGCCGAGCAGCAACTGCCGCCACTGCCAGGAGGCGGGGAGGCGCCCGCCGCCGCCAACCCCCGCCTCTCGCTGTTCTGCTTCACGCCTGCCGGCAGCGGCGCCTGCGTGTACCACGGCTGGGAGCATCATCTGCCAGAGGTCGTCGAGGTGGGTGAGGCGCTGCTGACTCTCATGTGGCTGACTGGGTGGCAGCGTCATCTCGTTGCCGCCGCCAAGAGCCACCACTCGGCTTGAGCAAATCACAGCCTTTCCTGCCGTGCATTCATTCATTCATTCAGCACACAGACCGGCCGCCTCTTGCTCGAGGGCGGCCCACTTTGGCCTGGGCAGCCCGGGCCGCCCTCCCCCCCGGGCGCATGTTCGGTGTTGGAGGGGTGTGCCCAGCGATAGGGGGCCCCTGAAGGCATGCGCCGAGGCCGGGAAGCGTGGTTCGGCGCTGCTGCACGCTTGGCGATTTGAACAGAACCACGTGCCGCCGAGCTGCGGCCGCAGTTTCCGGCCCACGGTCTACGGTCGCAGCCACGGGACTCGGCGGCACGGCGTTTGGGCCCAAGCTTGCTGCCGCCGCCGCCGTGCCCGGGGGGCAGCGCGGCGGCGGCGGGGGCACGCTGCGACGCCCCCGTGCTGCCGAGTTGCGGCCGTAGTTC